AACTACAGAAGAAGGCGCTGTTTATTATTATAACAGAGAAACAAGGTATTTCATACTTTATCCTATGAGTGCTTTCTGATGGAAAATGATTCTTATATTTTTTTCATTTTTCGTAATTTTAGCGAAAAAAAAATTGTAACTTTACATTTGGGAAGAATTGTGACTTTAACTTGTAACGGTCCCATTACAAGTTTTAATGACAGAATGGAGCTTTGTTGGCGTCCGTAAGATTTTATAAAGGTCCTTGTGAAAAGGAACAGTATGAAAAAAACATAATAAGGGATCAAAAGCTTATTGGCCGGTGTGGAAAAACTAGGAAAAAAGATAGACATTCTAGCGACACGAAATACAACTGGTGTGGCTGACTCAAAGCTGACTCAAAAAAAACATGAACCTAGCCAAAAAATAAAGTTTGGGTCTTGACTCCGGTCAAAAACGTCAGAATCGGTTTGAAAACGCTAAAGTTCATTGAGAAGTAAATATTTGGATCTAAGAAAGCTGAATTTGGAGCAGAATATTATAGCTGCCATATGCAGGCGATTTAGGAAAAGATCGATAAGGCTTGAACGTTTCACCTGAAGCTGGGCACGCAGCTGCTAAGTACACTAGCGCGGTGAGGGTAAAGTCAGGTGAGAAGTCGGAAATTTGTTTACATTGTTTAAGCTGTCAGCAAATGTTCCGTTTCGTGCGGTGGAGTACGAGTGCTGTTGCGTTTTTATCTTATTTGCTGTTTTTAAGGGAGTCAGTTTGGACATTGCCTGACGAAACAGGTGGTGGCACTGCATCGGCGGACACGACAACGGACCGAACAGATACTCGTGCTGCATTTAAGGCCGAGATAGTGAAATATGTTGGCGGCATCATGGAGCCAATTCGAAAGCTGAAGTTTGCTTCTGCCGATGACTATAAATATGTTTTGCGAAAGGTGAGTTCATGAAAAATTTCTTAATTCAAAATAATTTCCTTTTTTTGCTCAATTGTTTGGTGCTGAACACGCTCTTATACTCCACCGTTATTCGAAATTTCTTTTCATTTCGGATTTTGACTGACGTCTAGTGGTATTTGGCTGTATGATTCGTCTGCTGAAGTAAGAAGTTAACTCCTCGGGTATTCATTC